GTATAGAGACCGTACACTGGACAGCATAGAGAGTGTACAGGGACAGTATAGAGACCGTACACTGGACAGTAAGAGACATCAAAGAGGCAGTATAGAGACAGACCATACAGAGATAGCAGAGAGGCAGTGTACAGAGTTTATGTTTAGTGTTGTACAGTATCATGCCTTTCTAGAATTAGTATGGTAGCTGTATCTTGTTAATGCACAGCCTGAATAGAGGAGATATGCGGTCAGTGTAGAGCTCGAGTGATTGTAAAGCTGATGTAGGTTGGAGCAAAGGCAGATGCAGGCAGTGTGGAGCCTCTATACTGTCAGCAAAGAGGGTGAAAAACTACTATAGAGTTAGAACAGAAGCTACATGCAGTAGTAGAGCTTCATAGCAGAGTGCAGACTTTGCAGAGCTTTTACAGAGTTAATACAGTATCTTTATAGATTTGATTTATAACGTGTGGAGTTAGTGTAGAGCTATTACTGAATCAAAGTTAAGCTTGTTCAGCTACGTACAATATTGAAGTATCATACAATGAGTCTCTATGAGTCAATACCGGACCTGCACAGTGCAAGGGCAACAAAGCCTTGGCCTGTCTAGATCTAGTGAATAAGTATCTTTGCTGTTAAATAGTGTCCATTATAAAAACACTGAGAGAATATTGAAATAGCAGCTATACTGCAACCCCGCCTTGTACTCCTCTCTCAGGAGGAGGTTTGACTTCCAGAACCCGTCTCGAATGGACCGGAATGTGGAGATGTTCATGACTATCGAGAAGTCCCTGGTCCAGGTGAGCTCACCTGCCTGTCCGTTTCTCCGAGTCGCTGCGTTCACCCTTCTCAGAGGAGTAACTGTGTCTCCCTCTCGCTCCGACAGAACAACTGTCTCAGTCGGCCCGTGATCTTCCTCAGCTCCGACATTGAGCCCAAGCTGCTGGGAAAACTGAAGGACATCATCAAACGTCATCAGGTACCCAACTGTCTCTCTCTCTGTACCTGGCATGTCTCTCTGTTGCTGTCCTGTCCAGTGTCTCTCTATACCTGGTGTGTCTCCCTGTGCTTGGTCTGTCTTTCTGTAGCTGTCCTGTCCCGTGTCTCCCTGTGCTCGGTCTGTGTCTCTCTGTAGCTGGTGTGTCTCTCTGTACCTGGTCTCTGTCTCTCTGTAGCTGTCCTGTCCCTCTAATCTCTGTACCTGGTCTGTGTCTCCCTGTGCTCGGTCTGTGTCTCTCTGTACCTGGTCTATGTCTCCCTGTGCCTGGTCTATGTCTCTCTGTAGCTGTCCTGTCCCGTGTCTCCCTGTGCTTGGTCTGTGTCTCTCTGTAGCTGGTGTGTCTCTCTATAGTTGTCCTGTCCCTTTTCCTCTCTGTACCTCGTTTGTGTCTCCCTGTGCCTGGTCTATGTCTCTCTGTAGCTGTCCTGTCCCATGTCTCTCTGTAGCTGTCCTGTCCCGCGTCTCCCTGTGCCTGGTCTGTGTCTCCCTGTGCCTGGTCTGTGTCTCTCTGTAGCTGTTCTGCCCCATGTCTCCCTGTACCTGGTCTGTATCTCTGTATAGCTGTCCTGTCCCTCTCATCTCTATACCTGGTCTGTGTCTCTCTGTAGCTGTCCTGTCCCTCTCCTCTCTGTACCTGGTCTGTGTCTCTGTAGCTGGTGTGTCTCCCTGTGCCTGGTCTGT